TGGACAATATTGATGCTCCTGATCTTCTTCAGTCTTTCCATGCACAGTACCCTGCTAAACCAGGAAATAGGGCATCCAGAGGCTGCGCCTGTAAAGGTGGAGGTAATGTGAGGAACTGACTCTGCTGGGTTTCGAACCCTGGTTTACATGGTGCTAAACCTTTTCATTACCAGTACACCAGCCTGCCTTTTGCAGATTTACCTGAGATCTGATACCATTGCTTGTAGAGTCAAGGTTATCAGTGACAACTCACTTCAGCTGTGTCTGGTCAGGTGTCTGGTTCTTGGCCTATAAAAGCCACTTCCTGTCTCTTTACCTTTGCCAGATTATTGTGGTTCCTGTACTCTCTAATCCAGCGTGTTCCTGTTTCTCCTTCCTGTTGCTGAATTTGGACTGTTTTGACTTTGCTGCTTCTCCTTCCCACTGACCTCGGCTTGCCTCACTACGATTATCATCTTTCTGTTCCAGTCTCCCATCTCTGCTTAAGACCAGAAGGCCACTCAAGGCTCAGGGGCTCAACCACCTGGGTAACGAGTGGCTACCTCTGGCAGAAAACATTGCTGATCTGGCTACTGGACTCCAAAACTTTGTAACATCAATATCATTACAAATGGTCCCTTTCAGAAAAATGTATCCAAAGGCAGACTTTATTTAGCAGCGCCGTATGGTAATGTTTCAGCTCCTACATCAAGCCTTGATAGGTTCAATTGGTGAGCCAAAACGTTGCTGTAGTTTGCTCCAAAATAAAGTCTGCCTTTGGATAACACATGTAATACAGTTTGTCAGAAACAAGAAGTCGAAATTCTGGGATAGATTGCAAATGTTTAACAAACTAACAAAATGGTTTATTGCCACATTCGCCAAAAGTTCACCCACATACTTTAGGATGTCCGTGATATTTCCTCCTTCTGATGTAGCATAGTAAGAGGCATTTGGTTTTGGGGAACATTTTAATATGGGTCCCCCCCCCAAAAAAAATATAGGGGCTCACTTATCTTACCGTAGCCCAGCTGAAGTAGTTATAGTACTTGAAGTGTTCCTTTACTGTGTTAGCCTTATACACATCCTGAGCATTCTTCAATTCCTTTACTGTGTTAGCCTTATACACATCCTGAGCATTCTTCAATTCCTTTACTGTGTTAGCCTTATACACATCCTGAGCATTATTCAATTCCTTTACTGTGTTAGCCTTATACACATCCTGAGCATTATTCAATTCCTTTACTGTGTTAGCCTTATACACATCCTGAGCATTCTACAATTCCTATACTGTGTTAGCCTTATACACATCCTGAGCATTCTACAATTCCTTTACTGTGTTAGCCTTATACACATCCTGAGCATTCTACAATTCCTATACTGTGTTAGCCTTATACACATCCTGAGCATTCTACAATTCCTTTACTGTGTTAGCCTTATACACATCCTGAGCATTCTTCAATTCCTTTACTGTGTTAGCCTTATACACATCCTGAGCATTCTTCAATTCCTTTACTGTGTTAGCCTTATACACATCCTGAGCATTCTTTAATTCCTTTACTGTTTTAGCCTTATACACATCCCGAGCATTCTTCAATTCCTTTACTGTGTTAGCCTTATACACATCCTGAGTATTCTTCAATTCATTTACTGTGTTAGCCTTATACACATCCCGAGCATTATGCAATTCCTTTACTGCGTTAGCCTTATACACATCCCGAGCATTATTCAATTCCTTTACTGCTTTAGCCTTATACACATCCTGAGCATTCTTTAATTCTTTTACTGTGTTAGCCTTATACACATCCTGAGCATTCTTCAATTCCTTTACTGTGCTAGCCTTATACACATTGCAGCATTCTTCAATTCCTTTACTGTGTTAGCCTTATACACATCCCGAGCATTCTTCAATTCATTTACTGTGTTATTCTTATACACATCCTATGTCCTTGCTGTATATCCTAGTTAGGTGGATCAGTAAGTCAATGTCCCGCTCATTCTTGGCATACAGCTTGATGTCGCCCATGTAGAGTAGGTGGCTGATCGTAGCTCCACGCTTACACCTGTATCCGTATCCACTCTTCTTGATGATCAGGCTAAGGGGGTTGAGGCCTATGCAGAACTGCATTGGGGATAGTGCATCACCTTGGTATATGCCACATTTGATGTTCACTTGTGTTATTGTCCTGGAATTGGCTTTTAGAGTTGTTTTCCACTTGTCCATCAAGTTCTTGATGATGGCTATTATTGTCTTGTTGACCTTGTTGAGCCAAGCATTCCAGTATCCGTGTGTGGCTTTCTTGTAGTCAATCCAGACCGTACACAGATTGGTCTGTCTGATCTTAGAATCCCTTGTGACTGCTTGGTTTACCAGTAGTTGGTGTTTTTACCCTCTGTATATACATATACAAATCTGTATTAATAGCACAGCCTTTAAAATTCTGATGTTGCACTCCCTCATTAAGTTTAAGACCAAAAGGAGTGGTTATTGTGGTCTACACCAACCAGAGGTGCAGATCGTGCTCTCCACCACGTGAATACCAGAGAATCATACATCCCTCCCCCATCCCTCACACCCACTCACACTTAACCACCTGGAATTTTATCCCCCTCCCTGAAAAAAAATATAAACAGGAAAGGGGTTGTTTTGTTTACATTTAATTTTTATTTGAATTAACCCCTTAAGACCGCAGGGCGTTTTATGCCATCCGTATTTGGATGGCTCTGAACGCCGCAGGGCGGCATAGAACGCCCTGCGATCTTATGTACTTACCCGGTCGCCGGCGATCGCGGTATGGGTACTCACCTTCGTCCTCTTCGCCCCCCCTGGGCCATGTGAGGGGACCTCGCGATCACATGGACGGCATAGCCGTCCAAAGCATTGCTAGCAGGGGGAAATTCTGGGATAGATTGCAAATGTTTAACAAACTAAGAAAATGCTTTATTGCCACATTCACCAAAAGTTCACCCACATACTTACCCGGTCGCCAGCGATCGCGGTATGGGTACTCACCTGGGAGCCCAGGGAGTCCCCCTCCATCCTCTTCGCCCCACCTGGGCCATGTGATCGCGAGGTCCTCGCAAGGACCTTGCAATCACATGGACGGCATAGCCGTCCAAAGCATTGCCAGCAGGGGGAGTGCCTGTAATGACAGGTACTCCCTCTGCTGTCTGGAAATAAAATTAAAACCATTAAAACGGTGTAAAAATTAATAATATATACTTAGATCATATATATATATATTTTTTTTTTTTTTTTTTATATATATATATATACACACATACACATAAATATACATACACTAAGTGTATTTTATATTAATATATACATAATTATATATATATATATATATTAATATCAAAATACACGCACAATGATATTGATTAAATATATATATAATTTTCATTATATATATATTTATATATAATCAAAAAATAAACAAATATGTAAATACGTTAAAAAATAAAATTAAAAAAATAATAAAAAATAAATATATATACATGTATAATTTCGTTCTAACTGAATTTTAAAATTAATATATATATCTCAAAATACATGTAGAACGAAATAATATATGTATCTATATACATAAGTATATACGTATATATCACTATATATATACCTATATATAAATAAAAATAATTTAAAAAATTATATACATATATATATATATATATATAATAATTCTACGTATATATTTATGTAATAATTTTACATAATTAGGTCATTTTATTAATTACAATTTGCAGGACCTGCCTGACATCCCAGGCCAAAATTCAGGGAATTTAATTTGCTAGCACTATATTTAACCCTGTTACTTTCCAAGACACCATAAAACCTGTACATGGGGGGTACTGTTTTACTCGGAAAACTTTGCTGAACACAAATATTAGTGTTTGAAAACAGTAAAATGTATTACAACGACGATATCTTCACTGAGTGACATTTTTTGCATTTTTCACACACAAATGGCACTTACACGGACGATATAATTGTTGTGATAAGTTTTATTGTTTTGAAACACTAATATTTCTGTTCAGTGAAGTCACCCGAGTATAACAGTACCCCTCATGTACAGGTTTTATGGTGTTTTCAAAAGTTACAGAGTCCGATATAAGGCTTGCGTTTCAGTTTTTTCATATTAAAATTCGCCAGGTTGGTTATGTTGCCTTTGAGACCGTACGCTAACCCAGGAATGAAAATTACCCCCCTGATGGCATACCATTTGCAATAGTAGACAACCCAGGGTATGTTCAGTCTTTTTTAGTAGCCACTTAGTCACAAACACTGGGCAAAATTAGCGTTCAAATTATTTTTTTGCATTTTCAAATATTAACACTAACTTTGGCCAGTGTTTGTGACCAAGTGGCTACTAAAAAAGACTGGACATACCCCATTTGCAATACCTCGGGTTGTCTACTTTTGCAAATGGTATGCCATCATGGGGGTAATTCTTATTCCTGGGCTACCATATGGTCTCAAAGGCAACGTAACCAATTCTGCATAAAACAATTACGTTTAATAATGTAACCTAATTTGATATAAGGTCCGATCAACCTAATTTGATATAAGGTCCGATCAACAATTAACTTTAACACTATTATATGGCACAGTAATAAATCACTAACCATTTACATGAGTCAGCATCAAGAGAATGTTTACCATTAAATGGTTAACAAAGAAGTAAATCATTTTATGGAACCGCAGCAATGCTGATCTCCATAAAGCAACTGTGATGTCATGATACCATGATGTCATAATAAGGAGAATTCCAGGCTTCTCTGTGGTGAAAAGCAGCAAAGTTCCACAGAGTATAGTGGTTGGAGTCCGAAAAAGGAAAAGGCAACTTTGTGACTTAAGAGAAGACAGTCCTCCTGAGGCTCTAAAGGTGAGCTGCAGTGCACTATGAAGTTCTCCCAAACCAAGTATTTTTCTTACATCATGAAAGACAACCCACAGGTGAACTTCTGTGAGACAGTGGCAAAAATGTATTAATGGAAATCTTGTGTTTAAACTTCAGATGGGTAACTGGCGTTTGGCACAACGCAACTTGAAACTGAAGAGATCATATCAGACGAGCTATCAGAGCAATATCCCGGGCAACTCTGGGAGACAGGATGGTGGAACAGAACTTGCAGTGTTTCAGAAGAAAAAGGTGCTCACTGAGAGTTATGAGAGAGAGAAGCCCGGGGAAGGAGCACAATTCAGAGGACACAATAACCAAGTCAGAGAAGAAGACCCTAGGAATGATGTTTGTCAAGCAGGTAAAAGGGGCAAGTGGGAATATGACCAAGGAAAGAGGAATGAGAGCCAATTGAGTCATGGTGGTAAGAGGAAGAGTGGAAAAGGTTGGGGACGTCAGATGAAAAGAGGGAAAGGAGGGCATGGCTCCCGGGAAAGACCGGAATCGAGAAGATGTCCCACTCGTCCCAGAATGACAGTGGAAGAACTCAATAATAAACTGGCTTCATGTACCATAAACACAGAAGGCCAACCAGGTACTAATCGAAATGTCAGCATCTCCAGTGCAGAAAGCAATTTCTTTGAAAAAATGGAGATTGAGATGCCCATTGTTAAAAGTCCTCCTGAGGCTCCAAAGTAACCTGGAATTAATCAAGGTCATCAATCATAATGCAGAGCAGTCTGGCACCATGTCCACCTCAGTTACAATGACCAGATAAATAGAAAAAAGCATTTCAATAAACATTGAATGAGATGAAATATATACAGGCCTTAGGTCTTTTACCTTCTTACCCCCATTCCATTCCTCCACACATTACTACACAGCTAGAAGTGGGGTCAATTGCACTTAATGTGCTGAATGTTTGTAGCTCTGGTCTCTTCCTTTCTAAGTTACTACTGATAAATCCTCTGCACATTTTGGCTGAAGTTTGATATAATTTTGTTTAATCTGTGTTACCCAGAAAAAGACGAATGACACGATTTAAGTCTGTGTCTGCCATCATTGGCGGATCCAGAGTCTTATCTCGGGAGGGTCACTCAGATTATTTAAAGAAACAATCCAGGCACAGTAACCACTACAGCTCTCTGTAGTGGTTATGGTGCCAGGAGTGCCGTGGCGCCCTCCCAGAGTAAATAGTCAAATGGTTTAAAAACAGTTTGACAATTTACTTGGGGTCTGCCAGGATAGGGGCTGTAGTAGGGGATGTAATTTTGCTCTTTGTTTAATCCCATATAATTATATTATATCCACACATAGGAGCAGTGCTCCATTCTTCCCAAGGCAGACAAGGCATTTGCACTGGGCAGCACTATCCATGAGGGTGCCCAGTGAGAGTCTGTGTCTGCCAGCGACATGTGTGTCTGTCAATGAGTGTGTCAGTGAATGTGTGTGTCTGTCAGAGTGTTTTAAATCAGTTAGGGTGTGTTCCTGTCAGTGAATGTATATGTATCTGAGTGTGTGGGTGTGTGTCAGTGAAAGTGTATCAGTGAGGACATGTCCTGTCAGTAAAAGTGTGTGTTGGGTAAACAGTGTGTGTATGGGTCAGAGAGAGTGTGTACTTTAAAGTTTGAAATATGAAGAGAATGAACTCTAAGAGGAGAAGGTGCAGCCTAAAGAGGAAGGGTGGGTCTTAAACAGGAAGTGGTGCTGCCTTGACAGGAAGGTGTGGGGCAAATTTAGATTTGGGGATGCCCAAGTTTAGTCATGCTTAGGGCAGCACAAAACAAAATACACCACTGCAGAGGCAGGATGGCAAGTTTTGGCCTTTGGAGCAAATACAATCAAGTGACAACTTTTTAAAAAGTAATTTTCTGTCTAATATTGTAATGTAAAAAATAGGAGCAGAATTATATGTTCCGGTCTACTAGCTGGGCTTACAAGTTATTCGCCATCAGAAATGCATTCGGCACATTTGGCACAGAGTTTCCATTGCCGTGGGAATTTGTATAGAAGATCGGTGTGTGTGTGTGAATGCATTGCTGTATGTGTGAAGTTTGTGAATGCAGTTGTATGCCTGTGAATGCAACATTGTATTTGTATGTAGTATGTCAGGACTGAAGTGCATTTATGCTGGATGTTAGCGTGCACTAATGTGTTTATTCCCTGCTAGCACACCATTAATGCAGGAGCCTTGCCAGACATCCAGGGAGTTGAATCTCTTCTGGACCACAATGAATCACATGTATCCCTGAAGAAACCTAAGCAGCTTGGAGGAGTGGGGGCAGAGCACCACCACACACATCACATCCAGCACACATTACATAGCTTGAGTACACATCACAAACACACCATAGAGCCAGCACACACCATATATGCACATACAGATGGCACTCACACTCACCACACACATTACACACAGCCAAGGCATTGGCAAACAAACTGTGCACACAGTCAGCCCACACTCATTGCATACAATCTGGGGACACAACACACATTACGCAGAAACAGCGCAGAGCACACCACACACACACACATTACAGACAGCCCATAATACACACAGACAGCACACACCACACACATATTACAAACAGCCAGCAAAAATCAGGTAAAATACATATATTGTAACACAATATAAGATAGTTATCACTGTACAAACTCTGAGATAGAGGAAAAGCTTCAGGTTTTCTGAGATTATAACATGTTTGCTGACCAGGAAGAAAAATATGCAGTATATAATATACTATAGGTAATATTTACCATATAATATATACAGTGTGATACATTACAACTCTGCCTTCTCCCAAAAACAGATAAACACGTAACACCCAATATTTACAAGCACACGCAAAGAAATCCATTTTCATAAATATATACATTCACATAATGTCTCGGTTACATCGCGAATTTTGTAGACAAATATGTGTCAAAATAAATAAAATGAAAAGATCGGTCTGCCCATATATAAAGATAGCAAATTGCGTGATGTGTAACAGATCGAGATGGAGGGGATGGGATGTTTGCCAACTCGAGCCTGCTGATAGCTGATATATTACTAGCATACAGCAGCCTTCCAAGTAAACTGAGAAAATCAGCCCACGCCAGTGAAAAATTACCCCTAGAGGAAACACAATTTAAATTATTTGGAGTCAAGACAGCACTGACACGAGCCATCTGTTCAGTGAGGAGTAATGGAGGCCACGATACCAAGACGGCACGATCATTTCTCCATCCTACTTCCAATCGATTTGCTATTCAGAGATTAGTAGATGGGAACTAACAAAAATATATTACAGCTGTGTCATACCCTTGGCACCCCTACGTGGAACCCCTGCTGGGGCCCGGGGAGTGGAAAATCAAGAAAACGTTTCTGTATGGATGTGTGTTAACCCCTCGTGTTATGTCTTTCACGAGGTATGAGCTCTTTGCAAGATTTTTAGAAAAGCTACCCTATAGACCAGCAGAGATTTATAGGGTTGTTTTAGTTATGGGTCCAAAATCAGGAAAAGGGCTGGTGTTAGGAACTATGTAGAGTATCTCTCAGAATCATGGTATAGTATTGTGGGGTCCTACAGGAGCTTATGCTTATTTTTTTTGGTCAGTTATGGGCTGAGAGGTCTGAAGACAGCTTAGCCCGGGACTGCCAGGCATAGCGCCCACAGATCTATATCACCATAACTACTACAGTGAGCAGTAATAACTATGGCGCTTAGTGTACCTCTCTAAAAACTACAGGGGATTCCATAAATTCTTATGAAGGAACAAGGCTTAGCTGATGGCTGACTTTGATACTGCAGGTGTTTGTGAACTACATTTCCTATCATGCTCTACCAGTCTGTAGTTTACAAGTACTTGTAGGACCACGACCAGCGATCACTGTTTTATCATCTGAGTGACACCAACGAGAAGTGAAACCAACGTGAATGAGCTTGTGGCATTTTTTTCATACTTCCGCAATATTGACACCTTTAAATATTAACAGTTAAAGGAACACTATACAAACATGTATTCCTATCACTATAATGTTCTGCTCCATGTTCAAATTCAGGCCCCCCAATGAAATGTAAAAGAAAAATGAAAAAGGGTTTGTTACATTTTTTTCACACATCGTGCAGTCTCCATTGACATTGTCCTGCATTCAGTCTCCTTTTTGTCTTCTCGACCAATCCAATGCTTTGCATGGAGGGAGCATTGAATCCAGTGCTTCCCTATGATGTGCATTGGAGAATGTTGAACATTATGTAACAGAGTGTGGCTCGTGATTGCCACAAAAGCGCCCCCTAGTGGCTATCAGTGAAACAATGTGAAAGTGAAAAACATCGCTGTATCTTCAAAACAGGACTAAAATAATGGTCTCAGTGCACAAATCTAAATAACAGGGAATAATGACAGCAAACAACTTGCAAATTATGCTTGGGTATTTCTAAGAATATAACCCTGTGTTAGGAAAATAAGATTCTCGAACTGATACATAATGGTGCAGTGTGTATTATAGAAAATATTGACACACTGGAATTATGGAGATATCATAAATCTACATGACTGTAAATCAGTTATTTTGGTTTTATATAACAATTCTTTTTTTGGTTTGTTTTTTATATATATTTGTTGAATTTTGTACTGCAAGAGTTAGAATGCTGGTCTCTCTCTCGCTCGCTCGCTCTCTCTCTCTCTCTCTCGTGCAAGGCTAGGAAAAATGTGCCCCAGGCGACTGGGTATTTATGGGAGTCCGTTTTTTATAAAGCAACAGCAATTTTGTTTAATAAAAAATGAATAATACATTTAATTTTTCTCTAAAGATGCTTGAGAAATTATCTAATTCTTTAAGCATTATATTACTATTACAGAAACGAGAGCATTTGTACCAGCAGTGCAAAATGTGGCCCTTCTGGAGAGACTTAGACAGATCTTTAACAGGAAATGTCACTTGCAAAGGCTGTGACAGATGAGACATTAGCTGTCGGATGTTGTCCTCGTCGTATTGTTTGCATTCGTACTGCGCAGACTGGTGTTATTGTTTTCTTTATGCTAACTTTAACTATGTAGCTTTTAGTTGACTATCCGATGCAAGTCTTGCCCACTGTGTATTGGTAAAGGGGAGGAACTTATCTACCCAGACCCAAGAATGTTTAAGTGAGAGGTACAGGGTAACAGCAGCACTTGTAGAAGCCTAATATGTCAAAGAGAATTAGTGTAAGCACCATCAGGTATTTTGCAAGCGAGCGTTTAATCTGCATTAGCACTGCAGGATTTTCAGGCTTTACTCAGAAAGTGAAGAGGCAGAGGATTTCTGAGGTCAAAATTAAGCTTGCAAACTGTGATGAAATGCAGTACAGGCTTTATCAGCGATGTTGAGAAAGTCCGCAATCTCTAGTGTGTCCATCTCTTTATATTTGGAAGTAGTTATGTAACAGTGGCTGGTTTACAACACAAAAACATAGGGTTATACACAAATACGGATTTTGTCCAGGTGGACAAAGTTCGGTGAATATGGGCAAATTCCGACTAGAGTGGCAAACCTCATATTTACTAAACCTAATTCTGGTCGGAATTTGATTAACCAGACAGAATTTGCAACAATCGCCCGGATGCATTCAGAGCCTGCTTCACAAGTCCAGACGTAAGTAAATCTTATGAACAATGTCTGGATTTTGCAGTCTGATTGGTGCAATCAGACAAGTGAATTCCTATACTATGGACTT